GGTAACACACTGGTATTTGTAGGATCACTTTTTCTTCTCTTTATTCAAGAAAATCAATAAAAATGAACTGGAAAAAAAAAAACAAACAAGAACTATAACTACGCAAAATCTAACTATTCTGAATTAAAGGTGTGTTCGACTGTATAGAATTAGTGTCGTAGAATTAGAATATGTAGAATTGGAGAAAATTTTGATTCATTTTTGTGAGTTACTTTTTTTCAATTTCACAAATTCTAATTCTAAGACTCTAATTTTATGCAACTGAACATACTCTAAAAGAATTTTGTGTTAGGTTCTAACTTGGCATAGGAAAGGTTGGCAATTTAGTAAGTTGCCTCATGCTATAATTCAATAGTTTTTTTTTTTTTTCATCAAATCATAGCAATGCATTAAGAAGGAGAGGACAAGTCCTCAAGAATTACATCAATGAACCATTGCAGATCACTTGGCATGAGCAACCAGTGCTTGCCAAAAAAGTCCCTCTGAGGTTGGATGCCCTCAACATAGTCTAATATTGTAAAAGATTCGTTGAATTACGAGCGGTCTTTTATAATTAAAAAATAAACACATTAATAACACTTTAAACTCAGAAGCCCACTTGCTCACCTGGTGAGCAACTTACATAATCTAAAAACCCAAACAAAAGTCAAATTCATATTTTCCTTTTACAATATATTGACAACTTAATATTAATTTATACGCTTATATTTATATATTATATATACATATTGTATAAATATATATCAATAAATGTATTATACCGTATAAATTACATTTATATATCATTATGCATAGGTATAATCGAAGTATACAAGTGGATTAAAAAACCCGAAAGAAAAATAAGATTAGGACTTTGAAGAAGAAAAAAAAAGTAGTAAATTTTTGTAATTAAAAAAGGGAAGAAGAAAAAAAAAATAGGTGAAAGAGGATTAGGAGAGATAATGAACTATGTCACCTGCCATTGAACCCCCATTGCAAGAATCCATAAAAGCTTGGCCAAATTTATGTTTTGTCATGTAGTTTTGGATTATATTACATATATAATATATAACATCATATTATATGGGACTAATATTATGCTACTATAGTTGATATTTTATTATTATTAGGTTGGACATAAAAGAAACTAACTAGGCTACTATAGTGAAGATGGTTACATTTTATTACAAAAAATATACGAGGCTTTCCTTGTCTTTGATATCCCATTCAGAGATGAAAAGAAGACAAAACAGTGGAGAGGAGAGAATGGAAGAGAAAAGAAAAGAAAAGAAAATTATATATTTTTATATATTTTTTGTAACGACCCAAAATAAGGAGTAAAAACACAAATGGTATTAGAGTTGAGTTAAGTTAAAAATGTGGTCAACGAGGATGTTAAGCGGTAGGGAGTGATTTTGACGACCTCAACGGAATATAATATTTATAATAATATTATAATATTATTAAAGAACGCAGTTATGAACAAGGTAATATAATTTTAGAATCATGTTTGTATAAATGCACTTGTTTTTTTTATCTATAAATAAATATTCTTTATACTTATTCTCATGAATTAAATTAAAAATATTTATGTCATTTCACACTAGAAAAAGAATGCATTTATAATATTCTTAAAGGAATATACTAATGGGAATTTATGAACAAGTTACTTATTATTATAACTCAAAGTCCACATCCAGATCCTTATTGTAAGCAGAATTTATACACTATTCCGTACATATAATTCATCTCATACTCTATTTTACTCTCAATGTGATATATTAATTATTTAATCTCTATAAATTTAACTTTTATATAATTAAATTTTGACATTCCAAAAACTTGTAGATTCATTTGTAAGACAACTACCTTATAGGAAGAAAAAAAAAACAAAAACAAAACTTGAATTTTGAGGAATCAATTGAATATGTCGTAAAAATTGATAAAGGTTTTTTAAATAATTTTTTTTCCTGGCTTTTTTAAATAATTAAAAAATGGAAAGATAATGTGAATACATAATAGATGTAACTACTAATAATCGGGTGTAACATAACAGAGGCCGTTACTCACATAGGGTTAGGGCAGTGGCGCAAATTCCTACTGCAAAATTCAATAAATATACGTTCCTAATGAATTTGTATGATTTTTTGTATTTTTAGAAAATATTATTTAATATAAGTAATGACTCATTCATGAATTTTAACTTTTTAAGAGGTTGACAAAAAAGTTAGATAATTTAGGTTTGTTGTTAAATTAATGAGCAATAATGGACTTTAAATACTAAATAGAAATAAATAAAATTTATCACGTTATGGAATAAAATTTAATACATTATACTGGACTTTAAATTTAATACGTTAGTAAATTAAAGAGCAATAATGGACTTTAAATAAATATAAATACTAAAATTTATTACGCGCATTAATACGTTATACAACAATACTTTATTGAATTAATGAGCAATAATGGACTTTAAATAGAAATAAATACAGTAAAATTTATCACCCACATTAATACATTATTCAACAACGATTAAAACCATTATGCATTTGCCAAGCCTAACAGCCTTAAATGGCGCCATTAAAGTTAACAAGCCTCGAGCTCTTTTTTTTATTTCTAAGTTTTCCTTTGAATAGATATAATTGAAAAGAAAAGGAAGAGATGAATAATAATTTTTATATTTGATTTGTTAATGAAGGGAGAAAATAAAGATATTCTATATGAAAAGATTTAGAGATAAATGAATGCAATTTAATTGACACTTTCACAATACCGTAAACTAATATTTTAGTGAAAAGAATAGTAAATTGGTAAACAGTAATAATACATCTTTCGAATTCAGAGTACAGGAATTTATTTGGTGGGACCCACACCTCTCTCAAATACTCACGTTCGGCAACTCCAAATTTAGAGTATGTATTATTTTTATTGGTTAAAATATATTTTTTTTCTTCTTTAATTTTTTTCAAAACAAGAATACTATTATTATTATTATTATTTTTTCGATTCATAATTTATGCATCGGTGAGGTTTGATCACTTAGTCACCATGAATTCCAAAGTAACAAGGATGTAATAAGAGAGACGAGAATCTTTCAACATTTTGACTAGACAGGTTTTGATTTTATTTTTCCGGTTATTATATGGTAGTCGGTGAAATTTCTTAAGGAATAAATTGTTGTGATTTTGAATTTGCTAATAATTGAAGTTCAGAATTCTAGTTTCGTAAAATTAAATGTAGCTTATAGGTATAAATAAATAAATAACAAATATATAAACAAGTCGGTTGTGGATTAACTCGCCCATCTTTTTTTTTAAACCTTTTACTTTAAAAGGTGATGAAGTATCATTTAGGCTACAATAGCATACCATAATTAGAAATAGAGTCGTGATACATAATCCGACGAGTTCAAATGGAGAGTTGAATACTCTTAGTCCAGTTGATTGCATAATGCTTCTAATTTAGTTGATTGTTGAGATGTGATTCATTTGAAACGTAATATGTCGGATTGATAATAATTTATTTTGTAGTGACTGATGTGAAATATTTGATTATAAAGGTGAAGTTATTACCTCCACAAAGCATCAACACTTGTTAATTATTCTAGGATAAAATCCTTTTCAGTTTCAGTTCCATCCGATTAGTGATTTATCCTATAAAAATATTGTGAAGTGAGATGAAGATCACACAACATTATTGTAAGATAATTTACTAAAAGGACGAAACCGGACCACTGTTGAAGATTTGGGTCCCTCTCCACGACCCTACCATAGCATACTATAAATGGATAATGCCCTTTGAATTTCATAAAATTTATACAAACTCTTTTATGTCCTTTGTTTTTACCCAAAATATATTCACATGCACAAAAAGAAAATTTGTGATAAAAGGAACAAGAATTCAAATCAATCTTGAAATGGTCCTCATAAAATTGATTGGGAATTTGAAACCCACCCCCAACCCACCCCACACACACAGAGAGCTGGTGGCAAGTGATCCCTTTTGCTTCATGTCAAAGCCAGTAGCCACTAATGGCTAACCACAAAGAAAACGCCAAGAAGGTGGCTTCATGATGCAGAGCTGGGACAGTGTCCATTTTCATTAATTTGTGTTTGGTTCCATAGAAAATGCCTTGCTTTCTGTTTAATATCTTAGGAAAATATTTACTTACATGTGAGTAGGTGTTTTCAGAGATCCAATCACAAATTTATAGTAAATTACATTCTGGATTCATCCACCCAGGGACGGAGGCAATTAAGGACCAAGGGCACGTGCCTCCCTGAATTTTCTCCATCTCTTATATAATATATATATTTTATAATAATATATATATTTTTTAATGAAAATATGGAAAGTGCCCCTCCTGAATTTTTTCATTCTATAAATTAATTCAATTCTAAAAACATCACTCTCTCTTTCTATATATATATATATATATATACATACTTATATATATATACATTATATTATAAATATATGTTATGATATACAATACTTATAACGTGCCCTCTGAAAAAAATTTCTAGCTCCGTCATTGCATCCACCCACTCTGTTTTCCTTATTTATTACCTTCCTGTATTGTCCTTAATTGTAACATCCCTTCATCGTGTACCATTTTGTTAGTATGAGCACTAGACAAGCGTTCACTAACTCTCTTATCCTTTCCTATCAAATCCTCCCACTTTAGGAAGGATAATAGAACCCCTCTATATCGAAAAGGTTTGGAAGGACTTAAAATGGAGCAAGTTTGGTCCAAGATTTGACCCAATTCGATCCGAAGTCCACTTTGATGGGTTTGGATTTTTATCGTGAATCCAAATTTAAAAACGGGTCGGATACAAATCAGCATTTAGGAATCCCCTTAACAACTCAGTAGAATGTTTTTTTCCCCATTGTGCTTCCCCTTCTGTTTCTTCATTTCTTCTTGAGATTCTTATAACCTGCTTTTCAATTAAAAGGCACGATCAAAAACTGACATCTTAACAACTTAGATAATCTATAATAGTCCTAAAAGAATAGCAGAATAAGAAAATGGCGCTCTGTTAACATCAGATGCTGTTCTTTGGTATCAGTTTTGTATGATATTAATAATACAATGATTAGGGAAAAAAAATAAAAAAATCCTTCAACTTAATTCAACAAAGCCATACCCAACCATTCCGAGACACGTAAACCATTATTCCGCTCAATTCAAGATGGAATTTTCTGTGAGACTAACGTGTAACTGGATTTACTTGCATCGTTTCAGCTCTTCTTATCTTGCAACTCTTTTCAAAACAAATTGTAAATGTCTTCCTTACCATATTCTGCAAATGTATACCATCCTGATCTCGAGATGAACTACCACGATCATCTTTAGAATTTAGATATGCATTCATCTAAACACTGGTTTCATCTTCACGGACACGCTGGTTCTTCACTGCCTCATTTTCAGTACATGAAGGCATCTTCTGCATCCAGGAAGAACAGTTAGAAGATAGTGTCAAAGTGTTGGACCATATGCACAAATGGGGTCATCTCACCACTGAATCTGAGAACAATTAAAAGCATGTCATGGCAAAATTGATCAAAATCCAACAGTAAATAGGATTGGAGAGGGTATGACTTGAAGCAGACATTTATTGAACAGGTTTCGGTTGCTTACAGATCATTTTTCTTTTTTGAAATTTAATCTCAATAACTAGCTTAAAGGAATTTGTTCATCCTAGCAACCCTTATGAAATGTCAAATAATGAATTTTGGACGGATTACTGTAATTAAATCAAGATACAGACAGTACACCTCCATCCCCCACACCCTCCTTCCAACCCAGACATGCTGGCCAAGGAAAATTAAAGTAGAAAAAGGAAAAATAACAGAACAAACTGATAAAAAGAATTTCAACATTTCAAGGTACAGAGTCTTAACTGATTTGAGAATGTTGGGAAAAAGTTGTCAATGGTTATAAAGATGACCACTAAAAACAAACAGATATTCTAGAAGGTTTCTATAATGTCATCATCGCATATTCCTCTCTCCCTCTACTTTGAACCAAGACTTTTCTTCAGACTTAGGTTCTCTAGCTTCCATTCTCAAGGTACATAGATCCACCTGTGTTCGTTGAAACCTTTTGGGACGTCGAGACCTATATAAACACACAACTGCTTTGCTACTTGTTGTTCATTAGAATAGTTTCAAACCTTTTTGTTTTTCCTTCAATGCTCTATGTTAAACATTTTTTCAGGGGACAATTTATTTTCATTAGCCAGCTTCACGAGCCTAAAAGGGTATGAATAGATACAGGTTAGATCATTCCTCTTTCATATATTCATTTAAATAAAATAAAAAAAATGTTCAAATAATAGGTAACATTAAACTGAGCAAATTGGTCAAGGAATACCAGGCGCAGCCTCCACTGGGCACATTCTCTACGGGCCTATTTGTAACAACTAACAAGGCAGGGGGCATCAGACATCATCTATATACAACCGTGTTCCCAAACTTGTTCAGCTACACAATCATATCACTTCTTTATATATATATATATATATATTTATAAATACAGTTCCATCTTGTATAGTAATAGTTTTTTATAGATACAAAAGCACAGCCAACATTATGTGTTCTTCGTACTACCAGTTTATCAATTGCAATTTAATAAGCTATCACTCAAAAATTATCCTGTCCTTCCTATCATCACTGAAGTTCGTGTTCATATCTATATTTTTGGAACAGAATATCTTCAGCAATGATGTTCAGCAGAAACAATTTATAGATACCTTATGTTTCATATCTATAGTATATATAAATTACGCACATGCACACAGTTGATGTGGGCCTGTTCTTCGATAATAGTACTGTATAACCTGCTTCATATACAAATCTTTCTAGCAATATATTTTTTTTTTCCTTCCCAATTACATTCCACAATCAATCAACACACAAGTATTGTAAAAGCTATTAGCTTGAACATGAAATGAAAATTTAATTAGTTGCATTAGACAATGAAAAAATGTAACTGGGGCATGATAAGATTCAGAGTTGGCTGAAATATAGAACAAATACATCATGTACAACAGGGTATTTCTGGCATCAAATAAGAGCCAAAAACTTATCCAGACAATAATTATCAAACATTGCACAACAATCAAAGGAATAATAAGAATATAAGGCATTCCCAAGGCACTGATCATCTGTCCTGATTTGTTAGATATATTATATAATTCACTACACAGATGCAAATATATGCCTGTGGAGATAAATACACAGTCTCTTTTAACATTTCTCATATTCATAGGCATTGTATTCATGCCTGGGAATGAAATTACAGTGTGTTTAGAAGGAATGATGGCTTCTGATGGCCACCTGCCTTCAGTTTGTATTTTCCATTTGCCTTTCACATGATTTGCACGAATTTATAAAAATAACTAGTTTTAGGAATACCTTATATGGTTTACAAGAGCAAAACCTTCCAAAACTCACATGCATATCCTTTTAAATTTTCAAGATTAGAGAAAACTAAGATGAAAGTTATGGCATCCTCTCATGAGCTCCCTTATACATATATCATTGTTGTTGTTATTGCAATTACCCTTGAATTTCATGATCCCATGATGTCTATCAATGGAATAGTCAATGTCTCCTTTTGTTGTTTCTGAAGCATGTTCTAAAAAAAGTTAATATATATAACCCTTAACTATGGAATTATGATAATATCACTGAGTATAAGCATCTTTGGCATCTTGAGGAGCATCAGTTTTAGACATGTCTGGAGGATCCTTGTTCAAAAAATGGATCAAATTTTCGGTGGACTACAACACTTACTTTTCTTTCAGAATTGGTATAACTAGAACCTGAAGTTGATTTTCATAAAATAATTTTGTAAGTGGATTAATAGTTGACCATTGTGGTTACACAACCACAAAACTGATATGGAAAAAGATATCCAGCAACAAGTTACAGCCATTTTCGAACGGTATACTTCATCTGTGTGGCATATGGCCATTGTTTAAATATATCACTTTTATATGAATAGCACCCCCATTTTAGGTGAAACTCCCACAGCCCCACAAGCCTTGATATGCCTATCATCTCTTTAAAGTAAATAATACTGGTAATTTATCCAAATAAAAAGGTAACCTTTTGGCATAAATCTTCTCAAGATCTGTCTCATGCTTCTTACTTTAATAAGGAAAATAAAATAGATATCATATATCATGTCTGACGGTTTTCCTTTTTTTTGTAAGTATATATACATGTCACATGTATAATATAAATATGTAATCTTATGCATAGCATGTAATGTAATTACATCAAACCAACTCCTATACATCTTATATTTAGGGGAACATGATACCCATGTCATCTTCTATTTAGGAGCACACAATACCTATGTTACATGGACACAAAACTGAAGCACACGAGACTATTGCTAAATATTCACATTATTATATATTTTTTATTTAATGTCCAGAGTTAAAGGCATTCTATAAGATAGTGTTCAATATAGGCATTTTCACTTTTTTTTTTTTTTGATAAGTCATTTTCATTTTCACTAATTTTGAAGCAATAATATATAATAAAATTGAATAACTTGATATGCCTTTTAGGTGCATGTCCAATCAAAAGTGTCATTCACATATCCCATGCATATGTTCAAGCATTGTGTGTCCAACACAGGTACTTCATTGACTTTTTAGGAGTCCATGTAACATACCTCTATACATAACTTAGTCCATGATCACAAACAAGCAGCATTTCTCAAATAACATAAAACATACGAATCAAATCATATTAAACACAACAAAGGTTGTACCCTAGTGGCATTTCCTCACCTTCCAAAATATAAGATTGATGTTCAAGTCCCATAGGGGCAAAGTAGGTGTGAGTTCAAATAGGAAAACAAATCATATTAAACACATGCACCATTCAGATAATATTCAATCTCAAAAATAATAATAATACTAATAATATTAATAATAATAATAATAATAAATTTATTTGAACGTCGATTGAAGATCATAGTCTTCTATTAAATTATAACCAACCATCACATAATAATCTTAGATTTTGTTCTAAAAAATTGCTATAGCTTGAATTACAACAAATATACAAGATCGTATCTCATATTAATTTATTTTTCTTTTTCCCCTCTAACTGAAACCTTGAACTGATGCTTGGGGGTTAAGACGCAAAGCCACCATGCCAGAGGTAGACTGGTTATATCATACTAATTTCAATTAAACTCAACTGACTCTTCATGAAACTTATTATTTTATTTCAATTTATATAATTTCATTCATGAATAACATGTATTATATATAAAACCCAAGTTATGATTCAACAAATTAATCCGAGGATGTCAATGGGCCAGGTATTATACGAAGTGACCCCATCCCAATCCATTCCACGAAGAAAAATCAATCACCATTCACCAAACGTGCCCCACTGCAGAGTCGGGGCAATTTGGAATGCCCTGCATTGTATAAATTAATAAAACTAAATACAATACTAAACATATTCAAGATAGTTTTTTAAGAAAACACTTTAAAATATTTAAAAAATTATAAAAAATGATTTTTGTAACTTTTATGATTACAAATCCAAAATATCATGAAAATTAATGAAAAGAACAAAAATACAAACAATACAATATCTATTTACACATATTTTTAGATACAGATAATACAATATCTATTTACACATTTTAAAAATTAAATGGATGACATTTCCAGACCCGCTTCTAACCGAATTAGATGAGAACCAAACATATAAAAAGAATTAAATCAGGTATGAAAGAATTTTACAATATATATATTTTTTTGATAAATAATTTTTTTTACAATTATTATAGTTGGAAATATATAAAAAGAATTAAGAAGAGATCAAACTTTTAACAATATATGAATAAAACACTAACAGTGAATCTTTTACATAGAGACATCCTTATAATGGCATGAATTATCACATACAATCTTAACAAAACAAAAAACACGGCCTCTAAGTTTATTAAAATTAAGCACATGACCATAAAAAATGTCTAAAGTGTTATAAAATAAACAGAAATAAAACCCTCGAATCACAAGCAAATGGTTCTGAATTTGTTAGAAAACACAGCCAAAACAATTCATATATGTTGATTAACTTGTTTATCTTATAAAAATATAGTATTCATGTAATATATATGCATCTGAATAAAAAATCAATTTTAGGATTACCACATAAGATTTCAAAGTAAACCCTCCAAAGTTCCAACATATGCCCTCTTGGATCTTGTACAAAATCCTCCAAAGGTCATACACATGCCCTCTTGTATGTTCAAGATTAACTATTATAAATGAGTAAGATTAGATTAAGACTAAGATGGAACGATTGCAATTTTTTCTTTCAAAATCTCCCTTCATACTTTTAATTAACTCGTAGGCCACTGTCTCTTTTCTCATAACATCGCAAAGTTTATGTTTGAACAACATGATTGCCCGATAAACTGATTAGACCCACTTAGAAATATAAAAGAGAATCAGTAGTGTCTGACTACTCCTTACTTCATTAACGACAATATGAATTTCAATCAAGGATTAACGGTGCTTTGGCATTTGATTATTACCATTACAGAATCCCTACTTTGCTCTTCAACCACAGAAATCCCTAGAGGGAATATAGCAAAAAGAATTAAAGAGAAAAATATGACATGCCATCACTTAAGAATAAATCACTTGTTATTATTTAACATCACTTGTTATTTGAAACTTATTGGCATTTTGAATTGTCTCCTCTCTAGCATTGCATCAATCAACAACTTTTTTATATGATCATTAAAATAAATAAACAAAAGGAAAAAGAGAAGGAAAAAAAAAAAAGAACTTTGTAATAGGCTTCTCTATTCTCACTTAAAAGCAAACACTGAAGGTAGCTGAAACAATTTTTTTAATAAGAATGCTTTAAGAATAAAAAGAAATGGTCAATAGTGGTAGAAACATAGTATAATATCTCCAATCTTGCAAGGATAAAACTCTCATGTTGTAATTGATTTATGAAATAAAGATTGGTGATCCTCAAAAACCAATTGACAAAAGAAATGCACAACTAACTAGAAGAGAAATTCACAAGTATAAATTGGAAAGGAAAAGATAAACCTATAATTCAAAGAAACAAAATGCTTAGTGTAGTCAATGCAATTATCAGTTACCTATCTCAAAAATTGTTGAATAAAGTTTTGTAAATACTCTGATATCAAACGCTGCAAATCCATGATTTCTTAGTTGAGCTGCAACTGTACTGAACTACTGGAGTCCAAAGTATGATCTGATTTTATGAACTCTTTTGCCCTAGTAGCCAATGCATTTCGTATAACAGAAGCATTTCTCTCAATTGAATCCTCAGTAGCCCCATAGTACTGAGAGCTCTGATCATGCAACGAATAATCACCCAATTCGTCACACAAAGCCGAATAATCCTCCCTCATCAGCAAAACATTATGAAGTATGGAACAAGCACCAATGTAAGCCACTGCAGTCTTGAACTCCTCTTCCATTGGTTTGCTCAGTACACCCCAATTCTTCAAACTCGCAATTGTTCTAAGAGCCGGTAGACGCATCAAATGGTGTGCCGAATTGAACTTATCTTCAAATGACTCCGGCATTGGATCAACAAATGGAACCAGTAGCCAAGGTAGCAAAGGGTACCCTCCATCCCCAACTAAGTACTGAGGTATAGCCACACCTTCTATGTACATTGGCGGAGAATTCAATAAACCCCCTCCTTCAACATCTTTATACAAAGTTGAAGACTTGAGAACCCGAGAATCGCCCTTGTCACCATGAAAACCTGCAACTATGCTCAGAATTCGCGACGACGAATCCACAACTATTTGTGCTGCAATGCTCTCTTCACTGAATTTATCTTCCGATGATGATTCATGCACACTATTTCTTACTATCCTGAACCTCGTACAATCAATAATTCCACAACAATTGGGCAATCCGGTCAGGGTTTCGAATGCTGCTGAAACGGATTCGAGCTCCTGTGGGCTCGGAAAACCAACCCAGAATCTGAAATTCGTGCAAAGAACACGGCATAACTGTTTGACACAGAATTTGGTAATCGGTTCTGAAACCCCAAACCGCCCCGATATTTCCTGGTAATCGGCGCCGGAGGACAGCCGGAAAAGGCCGATACCGAGTCGGGATTCGGCGGTGAGAGAAAGGGGTGACCCAACTGGGTCGCGACAGTCGAGCAGTGGCTCGAGAAGGCCAGAGAGCCACTCGAAGGTCGAAGAACTCATTCGGAAACAGAGCTTGAACGAGTCGGGGTTCTGCGGAATGGCCGAGTTGAGTCGACTCAGTTGACCGAGTCCTGGTTCGAGCTCCTCCTCTGAGTCCTTGGAATCGACTTCTGGTTGGTGGGTTCGTTTCCGTTTCCTGGAAATGGAGAGGAGAGAGAGGGAAGTGACGATTTCCGAGGTGGAGAGGAAATGGTGGAGGAGAGGAATTAGGTTTTCGTAGAGAGAGGAATTGGAGATGGTGAGAGGGTCAGAGGAAGGGAAAATGAGGAGAAGGAGGAGGACGAGTTGTGAGATTAGGGAGGAGAGTAACGCTGTCAAAGCTCGATAATCCATTTCTAATACTCTCTCTTGATTTGTCGGGAAATGGGGTTTCAATTCTCGAGAGCCAAACAAGAATTGACTGTGCGTGTGTGGAAGAGAAATCTGAGTGGGCAGCCGATAAACATACCTGTGTATTGTTTTTGTATAGAAAGGTTTCTTTTACCACACGTGAGTATATTTGGAATCTGGATATGTTTTATAGAATCTTGATTATGGGCTTACCAATTTTATTAAGGTTAAATTACTCACCTCCCCTCTAGTTGGCTAAAAACTCAAACTGCTTCCCCTAATTTTCAAAAATATCATTTATCTCCCCTAAAATAAATGTACATCAAAGTCAATTAACCAGCCATTGGATTTTACCAAAAAGACCTTACATTAAAGTTATTATTTTAATACAATAAGGGTTAAGTGCAAAAAAATCCTGCAATATACAAGATGTGCAATTACTCTCTCCTATTGTATATTGTACGTAGAACTCTCTACTGTTTTTAATTTGTGCAAATAAAGACAAATAATATAATTTTAATATTAAAATTGCTAAATTAGTCTTACTTTATCATTAAAAAAACAAAAAAGCAAAATGTTAAAATTATCCTTAAAGTCATAACCTAACAATATTTTACTTATTTAGTATTCCTTACACCCAAACCCATATGTTATAACTGTTTTTTGGCCATGTTCATTTTGGATTGAATGATGAGATGTAGTATACTTGTTGTCTACCTTGACAATTACTGCCAAGCACTCTCGGGCCTTCCAGTTAGCCTTGATTTCCAACTAAACAAATCCATCTGGAAATCCCATCATATTACATGTAGTACCTTCGCTGTACTAATCTTCACCTTAACTGATGTTATAATTTTTTTCTTTCTTTTTTTTTTTTTTTTTTGCTCATTTTGGTTGATTATATTCTTTACCTGTAATTTATGTTAGATGCAGTGGTATGAGTGCTTGTGATTGGCTCCTTCAATTTCTAACCAATTCCATAGCTGTTAACACAAAATTTAAGAGCAAAGCAGAGAGGAAAAAAATTGAGAAACAAAATATAAGAGTAAATCAAAGAGGAAACAAATGAGAAATTTTTTTTTAGGAAAACACAAATTTAGAGAGAGAGAGAGAGATAGAGATTAGTAGAGAGAAATTTTAGGGGGAGAGAAATTTTAGAGAGAAAAATAAAATTAGAGAGGGATAATATTGGCAACAACGGGATTTTTAGAGAGAAAAAACAAAATTAGAGAGATAATATTGGCAGCACATACTTTGTAGAGAGAAAAAAAAAATTATAGAAAGAGAGAGAAAAAAATATGGGCTGCCACAAGATATTTTAGAGAGAGAAAAAATTGAGATAGAGAGACCGCCACAAACAGATATTATAGAGAGAAAAATATATATATATATATATATATATATATATATATATATATGGGGGCAGAGAGACGGCCACACAGAGATATTATAGAGAAAATTTTAGAACAAAGAGATGTTTTAGAGAGAAAAAAAAATTATAGCGAGAGAGAAAAAAAAAATTTAGATATATATATATATATGGGTGGCCACAAAAAATATTTTAGAGAGAAAATATTGAGATAAAGAGACAGCCACGAAGAGATATTATAAAGAGAGAAAAAATTAGAACAAATAAATATTATAGAGGGAGAAAAAAATTAGAGAGATATAAATGGGCAGCCATAAAAAGATATTTTAGAAAGAGAAAAAATTTATATAGAGAGATGGCCACAAAGAGATATTATAAAGAGAGAAAAAAAAATTGAACAAAGAGATATTATGGAGAGAAAAAAAAATTTAGAAAGATAATATCGGCAATCACAGAAAGATATTTAAGAGAAAAAAATTGAGATAGAAAATGTTTTACTTGGATAAGTCTTAAAGCACACCTAAACAGACCCATTTAATGTTCAAATGTATACAAAATTAGTAGGGGCATTCTTGTCACATAAAAATGACACTTTGGGTTTTTAGAAATAAATAAAGTCACCAACTACTCCTTTTCAATAAATCTATTCAATAGGAGTCAAATTGCTCAAATGATGAATAATAGAGGGAGTTATATATACTTTTTTTTTAATTTTTAATAAGGATGTTTCATGCACATTTTGTATATGGCTGGAGGATTTTTTGCACTTAACCTATACAATAATACTTTATTCTTATAAGTCGATCGTGCCCTTCCCATCACCCATTACAACTCCCTCAACCAAACAACCTCACCGTCCAGCCCACGGACCAGGATCACCTCCAGTCACACAGTATCCCATTTTCTCCTTTTTGTATCAATGAACAATAGTTACTAAGGTGGGTAAAAATGTTTATTTGTTTTATACACAATTTTCATATATATATATCTATATACTGTTCACAAATACTCTTTCTTCTTCCCTCCCTTACTTCAGCAACCTATTTCAGCAACCCAAATCCCGCCATTTTCTTCTCTCCCAAAATATTGATTTTGACAAAATCCCGCCATTTCAGCAACCCAGATTTTGATTTCTTTCCAAAATATTGTTTCTTTCCAAAATATTTCAGCAACACAGATTTTGCCGTTTGCGTGAAGATTTGGAACACGAGAAGGACCATTGATTTGTTTCCATAAATTCAGATGTCAGTCCAAATGTTTGGGATGTTGCTCTGTTCCAATATTTCTCAATTCCTTTGTTTCCATAAATTTCTCCTTTCATTTGTTTCCATAAATTTTTACTTCTATTTCTTCATTTACTAGGTCATTTTATTCTAAAGATTTGTTTCCATAAATTCAGATGCCAGTGCAGATGTTTGGGATGTTGCTCTGTTCCAATATTTCTCAATTCCTTTGTTTCCATAAATTTCTCCATTCATTTGTTTCCATAAATTTTTACTTCATTTTCTTCGTATACGAGGTCATTTTATTTCAAATTAATATAGCAATATTGGAACAGAGCAACATCTGGACTGGTATGGTTTTTTTGTTTAATTATTTGTGTACTGCACAACATCCCAAACAGTTTGTAATTTAAGTCAATATAAGTTGTACACAACATCCCAACATAATCCTAATAGATTATTTGTACATAACATCCTAATCGTTTGTAATTTAAGTCAGTATAAGTTGTACTTAACATCCCAACATAATCTTACTTGCTTAGATTTGCCGAAGGTTTCAGAGAGAGAAAGTTAGAGAGAGAAATAGATTATTTTTTAGTTATTTTCTTCTTCTTCTTTCAAATCTCGATAATTCTCTTTGATTTATTTCCAAAACGAATCACACATCTATTTCTCAATTCCTTTATTTCCATAAATTTCTCAGATCTATTTCTTCATTCATTTGTTTCCATAAATTTTTACTTCCCTTTCTTCGTATATTAGGTCATTTTATTCCAAATTAACATAGCAATATTGGAACAAAGCAACATCTGGACTAGCATGATTTTTTTTGTTTAATTATTTGTGTACTGCATAACATCCCAAACAGTTTGTAATTTAAGTCAATATAAGTTGTACACGACATCACAACATAATCCTAATAGATTATTTGTACATAACATCCTATCAGTTTGTAATTTACGTTAGTATAAATTGTAAGTAACATCCCAACATAATCATACTTAACATCCCAAGCAATACGTATTTTGTATCCCAAGCAGTACTAACTATATTTCATGCTTATGTTATACGTAAAATCCCAACAAAATTCTACTAAAAAGAGTGCGAACCAGTGATGTTTGTGCTCTTTAATAAAAAAAAAAAAAAAAAAAACAGACCAAGAATTGAGATTTACATGAATAAAGCTTAGATCTATGGATGATATTTTGGAGTTTCTGCATAATACTCTAGTGAAATTACATAGGTTTTTGGAGTGTGTTTGGGTTTTGAAGTGAAACTTTAAAGTTCAAAAGTTATTGTGAGTCCTTGGAGAGTCCATTAATGGAAGCTGATGAAGCTTTTACAGAGAGAAAGGAAGAAGATGACATTTTGGAAGAATACAAGTGTATTTTGGATACAATATTTAAATGTGTTTATATATATGGAATACAATATTTAAAGCTTTTATATATAAAATACATGGGTGGTGGAAATTTAGTTACCCAAAATTTTTAATTGATGTGGCCAATTCTCCTCCACTTATTTCAAAATGGTGGAAATGGCACACTGTGAGACTGGAGGTGATTTTCACCCTCCAGGCCACGCCCAAAAAACAAAGTAAAGAAAGAAAATAAATAGAACTCATTGATTATTATGTTAACAATTATAACCTGTATTGGCTTTTGATTTAAGAAATTCTTAGTTGAGTTTTTGATGCAACTAGAAAAATATTGAATACAATAGTGGTTTTAAATGGGTTTCAATTGTAGGAGGATCGACTGAGTGTCGCTCTAGAACATTCTTTTTCTAGTCTTCTCTCCAAAGGTGACCTTGATCTTGTCACACAAGTTTTATGTGCTTAAAGGTATTTCAATTTTTTTTTCTTGTACTGGCCGAACATACTAGAAGTGCAACATTTTTATAATGTTTTTTTTTATAAATGAAGTATATATCTCCAGTTGTTGGGTCTTTACATCACTTCTCTATGATTTGAGTTTATTATTATTGCGTGATAAATTCACACAACAGAAGCAGGATGTTTTATAAAAAAACTTTTTGGAATTTGAACATTAAGTATCGCCAACCGCGGCGGTTGCAATTTCGCGAGGAGGAAGAATAAATTACGATGGAGGAGGAAATTGTTGGTACTACCACCTGCATCGGCTAGAATTTCATGTATTTGGGTCTACAATTTTAGCACCATTATTGGGGATTTCATTATGAGAAACAATGCGTACTTGTGATTTAGGGCTTCGGTTGAAACTATCAATTTAGGGCTTCTTGTTGTTCATTGTGATAGTACCGTGAATTGAGTAATTTGGTTTAAAGGCAGCGATGTGGTAATATTGCGTTTTATTTATTTATTTAATTATCTAAAGTAAAATAGATCTTTTGAAAAAGTTAGAGGGCAATATGGACTTTTTTGAATTTTCAACATGCTAACATCATCAATTAAAAACGTTGACCAACTTTGACTTAGATGGACTTCTATTTTAGGGGAGGAAAATGATATCCTTGAAAATTGAGGAGAGTCAGTTTGAACTTTTAGCTAACTAGAGTGAGGTGAGTATAAT